GTGCTGAAAATGAACATATAGAAAGAACGAATAGAGTCATGATAATAGCGATTAAGATAACACAAATGATGATTATGATAACGACTACGACTCAGAAGATAAATATAACGATGACATGTGACAGCGATAGCAACGACCGTTATGACAAGGATGATGATGACATGATGACGTTAAACGTGGTTATGACGACAGCGACGTAATGATGACAATCATGATGAACGTAGAGAAAGACAGAAATACTCTGATAAAGAAAAAGCAAATGATAAAGCAGAGAAGGTCTGCTATAACTTGAAAATGAATGGTAAAATCTAACTACCAATATTTAAATTTTTTCATTAAAAAGCGACTATTTTATGACGTTTATTTAAATTCATTATATAACATTTGCTAACTAATTGCTTAAACACAGTGATCATTAAATAGAATTCATGTTCAATAAAACGTAAATAGTATACTTACGTATGTAATTAAGTCCAAACAAAACTGGGTGCTTTTACTCGGCCTAGCGTAACAACTACTTGTGGACACACCATGGAGGAGATTCTATTGCTACAACATGAAGAGATATTAAAGAAAGACACAGCTACGCACAGTGATGCTGCAGACTACTAGAGTCCCTGTAATACGCTGAGAAAAAACACTTGTGAAAAGAACCTTAGCTAAGCGGTCTATTATTCTGCAAAGCATCTGCACTGGCACATATCCCTTTGGCATTTATCTGTACCAGAATCGCGAATGTCGACAAATCATCACGTACTGTAGATACTTCCCCAGACTGTGTGAAACAGGCAAGTTGTTTGGGCAAATTTCATCTTACCAGTATCTGTCTGACATCACGAGTTCATCTTTCTCTTGAACTGTCTCTTTCCACTTATCCTTCGATAGCCTCTGTCAGAACCGTACATCGCAATTTGCTTAGTGTCCTTCAACTGGTATGCTCATAAAACTTCTGACATTCGTCTGTTGTGTTTACTGCTTTATATGTTTACTGCTCGTTCTTAAACGGGTCGTTACAAATTATGTCTCATTAATAGCTTCCTTCGACCTTGTACAAAGTTTGACGGATATTACCGAAATTATGCCCCCTCCTGCTTAAGACCTGTTTCCGCAGTGAACATCAGTAATGATACAACTAGTTCGTCAAGCGGTGTATCCAACGCTTTGAAGCTATTCGTTGCTAAAACTTATGGACCTGTTTCATTATTGCTAGAAAAATTTTATCAGCTTCAATAGTACCTGGGTATTCTCTGTTCACATATACTACCCATCCATTATCCGTGGAAACAGTGAAAGGGTTCCAAACAGGTTCTTCATATAAACAGGAAAACGGGTGGCGCCCACAAATTCTTTTTCGAATCTCTAGGTTATGCAGTTCATGATCAGAGTTAAATACTAATCGTAAACATTCAAGAAATTAAATTCAAAACAAAATCATCAGGGCTGGATAATGCTGCGGTCTATGCAGTGAAACGCCTTGGCATTAAACTGATTACCATCTGCCACATTTGGTGCCCCAAACAATGAATCATTCAAACAACTCCATATATAACTAAGGCCCCAGAATGAGAAACGTACAGAATTATCTATTAAATCAGTTAACAATCAGATACTTTTTAAATATAATATTAATTTAATCAAATTACAGCTGATTTTATTAGTTTCAAGTGCAGATACGCAAACCAAGCCAGATGAGCTGATTTATCTCACTGCTCAAAAATCAGGACCAAAAATCCATCTTAGGTGTGCATACTGACTCAGCAAAAG